CCTGTATGTGCGCGCGCCCGTGTGTGTGTGTGCGTGTGTGAGCTTGCGTATACGTGCGTATGCGTATACTTGTGCTTGTGTGTACCTCTAATTCGACGTGCTATGGATGGCCTGTAAATATCCCGTGCACTCAGTTCCTTGTTGTCCTGCCTTTTCGCAAAGCCCAAAATATCCGTGGGACGTCCAAGAGACATCTTCAGGATGTTTGTGCCACGTGGTTTTTTTTTCTCGTTTCCCTTAACTCACAGCGACCATTTTGAATGTTAAATATTCTTCGCCTGTCATTCATCTTCTTTATTCTTTGTCTAATCTCATTTCGATCCGTTTCAATATATCGATATTATAGCAGTCTCCAAAACATATGGGCTGAAGTGAGCCGCGGCTCATTCGATTCTGATGAAAGCCAACGTTAGTCGGTCCGGTTTGAGTTTGACTAGAACCACGTGTCTCGCATGTATAATATAGATTTATTTTGTATTTTCACGTATATACGCTCAATAGAACCCTTCGCGTTAATTCGTTTTTAATAATTTTTTTTATCTTTCTTTTTTCTTACCCACCCTTCCCCGTCTATGAATATGAGTGTGTGTATCTGTGTCATTAATATTTCCCTCGTGTGGGCACGCGCGAGTGTGCACATGTAAATTTTCCTTACTTTGTCTCATTTTTTGCTTTTCTCTTAATCGCTTAACACGTTATTTCGATACTTTCATACGTTTCACATAAAAAACAAGGCAATTAGAGTCAGTTGTGTAATCGCTTTACAATTTAATCTCTTAACAGTATTAGTTAAAGTTACTTGGATATAATCTCGTAGGTTTTTTGTTGTTGTTATTGTTTTTTCTTTTCTCTCTTTTTTTTTTCATCGCATAATATATACACATACTCGAGAGTTTTTAATTACGATCGCAGCTAATTAATGAACTAAGCACTTTCGCTTTCTCTCTCGTTATACGTCTCATTCTCTTCCCCTTCCCCCCCCCCCATCTCTCGCATTCTTTTTATTCGTTTCTATCCTTCCTCTCTCTCTCTCTCTCTCTCTCTCTCTCTCTCTCTCTCTCTCTCTCTCTCTCTCTCTCTCTCTCTCTCGCTCTCTCGCTCTCTTTCTCACACACTCAGTCATTCATTTTATTTTTACGTTTGACATTTCAATGCTCACACGCATCCGCCGCCATCATTTCAATACACACCCCTATTTTCCCAAATTTCTATTCTAATAATCCATTTGAATTCTTTTGCAGTTATTTATTTAAATTTTACTACGTATCCGTATGGTTATCTTGCATTGACAAGCTCGCACCTCGCGTGGACATTCTTACCCAAAAAACAGACTCACGGATAAGAATTTTGGTACAATCGTTTTTATTTGTAGAAATCGTCACGATCACGCTCACCCACGACAGTGACAATGTCGAATAATCGACATAATAATCATGATGATAACTAGCTATTAACTAATAATAACAATAATACGAATTAACATCGTATATAGTGGGCGACTCGATAAACCGCACAAATTTTTTATCCTAGCTAAGTTTCTTCTCAAAAACACCTTGCCGCTCGCGACGCGATTTGACACGTAATAATATTATATAACGGTCTTCTATAAGTCCAGACACAGTTTACGAGCGCCATCATTTTGTCCACGCGGCTACCTGGCGGTTTTGACAGGAACCTCGGAAAAACAAACAAAAAATACCAAACAAGAAACAAGAACAAAAACTCGCGCACGGACGACAGCATATTCTAGAAAGTGACCTAACGTGTCCGGCATTCGCAACGCGTCATTTCATAACGAAATAGCATCATCCGCGGGACGTTCGTGGAACATCGATAGAACGTTCAGGTGTCGATCTCTTATTTTTTAATTTTCGCGCCTCTTGTAGAAGCTCCCCTCTCCTGACACCTCCCTTCCCTACCTCCATCGACACTAGAATCACGCAATACACGAGCCCATGGCTCTAATTTCATATTGCATTTAACTAGCTTTTAGGTTAGGTTGGGTTAGTTTATAACTTCTAACCTTTTTCAAGGGATAAGCCGTTACAGTGCTACTCCCCCCTCCCCTCCCCCCACCCGCAAGCCGTGAAATAGAAATAATCAGGGAGATACACACCCCTCTTTCGATTACGTATATCCGATTTGATACATGCTTACTGGTGTTTTTCGCATGCTTAGTTTACGGTGTATCTCGCTGTAGCGCGCAGGGCGTTCAATTCGCGTGTACATGTTTCTCGAACATTCATTAGGGACAGCCACACTCATCCACTACCATTTTCGGCAGGTCTCTCTTGATGATATTGGAATCCGGTCCATAATAGATGAGGGACATCGGAGAGAATTTCAAGGGAGCACAACACGGCTGCATCCCTGCGAGCCTGTCCATCTTCCTGTACTCCTCGATCACGTGGGTGTAGTAATTGAGAAAGGTGTCCGGCGTCCTGTGACCTGCTGCGCAGTCACCCCTGCAGTAATTGGCGTAATACCTGGATAGACAAAGAAGAGACATAAGCGTCAAAGAAGAGAAAGGTAAGCGAAGTGGAGTGTCAGGATTGGCCCTAGTGGATAATGGATGACAGGAAGGCTGAGTATAGTGGCAACGTTAAGGGTTGATCCTACATGCTGTCATTCGATGATCGGGTTTCACGACGCCCTACAAACGAGGCTCCGGACGATACTTTACTCCGATGCTATTTCCTACAAGCCTTCCTAGCGATGGAGGCACCAATGTAGAAGCTGGTAAGTAGCACGTCGATCGTGTTCGTCAGGGTGGCTTAGGGTATCACCCTTGCGCTTGTAGTCGGGGTGTACGTTACGTCCCCTTTTTACCATGTTATTCCTTTTCTTTATTTTTTTATTCTCTCTTTTTTGCTCTTTAGGGATTCTCTGACTGCCTCTTCAATGATTCCGGCTTTACTGTGGACACTGGTCGGACGTTGCTCTCCAATCAGGTATATTGGTTTCTACCGATGCCTTACGAATGACTGTTAAGTACCTGCGTGTTGCGTGTTCACATGTGGCTAGGGTAATACAAATACAGCCAAGCTTATCGTGAGCAACCTACGATCATCGCAGAGATCTTGCTGGTAGGACGTTAGGATAGATTGATGTTTGATTAATTTTATGAGACTCTTTCGAGCAAGCCCAAGTAATTTGTTACCGGTCAGTGTTTTAATATTCTTAGGTCTTTGGGGAGAGGAATTATATTCGTTATAGTGCTGTCTTATATATAGACTGGGAATGTTAGGTCAAGTTCTGTGGATGAGGGGAAGAAGGAAGGAGAGACGGAGAAAGAGTATTAGAGCCACCATGATTCCAGGATACGCCTGGAGCATTCCCGAAAATATTGGCAGTTTTCCAGAGTGGCTAGTCGCCCGTATAAAGTGCGGACGAGGTTAACAGTTGAGTGACATTAGATGTCAGTTAATTGATCGTTCGAATTGTTAGTGCTAATCAACTCCACCAGAGTGCGCATATCGCACGCGTAACAACTATCAGGGATAATGGCGGCTGCAGGGTAATTCGTTTGAAAGGATCCAATTGCGGTTAATAAAACGTATGAGGGTTTGTGGCCTCCTGGAGACAAATTAGAAAGTTATTCCATCTCGATAAATCTATTTTATTAATTAATCAGCCAATCAATCATTGTATCAAGCTCACCCTTGCGGCGCTATTATCCAATCGTCCCATCCGAGTTGCGAGAAACTGACGTAGAAGCGCTGCTTGCAGCATTGACCCTTAATGGCGCCACTACACTCGACTGCTCGTCTTCTGACACGTTTCACTGCTGCTGGATCTGTCCTCACGACCAGGAAGGGTCTGTCAGGATCTTCTGTGACTGAAGGACAGAGGATGAGGTATAACAATTGGAATTAAATTATTTTAATTATTAATTAAAATCTAATTCAGAGTCCGCGCTGCGATTCGTACCTCTTTTGTTAGTCGACGCGTCTATCACGTGTGGCGCTTGTCCTTCGAATGTCGATACATGCACATGCATCCCACATCCAGTACAATCGACAAGAAGAGTCAGCTTGTCTTTGGGTGAGTTCGAAGTAGCCGTGTACCAGCCACTGACTACCCTGGTAACGTCGAATTTCTGCCAGCCGAGCTGCGCCACATTCACAGCAAGCGACGTGGCCATCTCCAGGTGATGGCCCAATTCCTGGAGAATGATTATTATTTATGATCAGACAATTGTAGGAGCTTAATTATTATTACTGAGAGGCGGTTATACATCGTGAGTACAAATTTAACGATAAAAGCTTGAAACTTTAAAATTTGGACTGGCCGTTTATTGACATGGGTCAGATTTGAAGGGTTAGGAAACCTCTTAGGTGTTCTGGGTTCTATTAAATAAATATAAGCTTTGATGAATAGTCATAAGTTATAATGCGATTAAATAGCAAATAAATACAATAAAATCGTTAATAACGTACTGGTACCACTTGTACCACTGTTGGTATCACCGGTACCAATACTGGTTCACATCGTCAGGCATTGATCAAAGTTTCAAATTGACTGATGGCCTTTAAATAAAATGATTCTAGGTATACCTTGCCGCGGAGATGCGTTGTATTACCGCATCTCACCCTGAAGACCCAAAGCGTGATGTTTCTTTGATTGTTCTGCCCTGTTCGATGATGTTGATAATGATGACTGTGCCTCAGCTCAACCCTCGCCCAGAGAGTGGCACGTTTTATTCGCAAGGGCTCTAGGGCTGGCTCGCCGCTTGACATGGGAAATTCGAGAAGAGGTTGACCATTCAGTGTTCTCCCTGAAATTCAAACAAGAAAGATATGGTTAGCGAATGATAGTTTATTCTTTTTTTTTTTTTTTTTTCGTAAAAGAAAGAAAACAATTTTGCAAATAACATCATGCATCACCACCATTTTTTTGGACCTCGATATGAATCAGTCATCGATTCTCTCTCACTCACTCTTTATGAACTTTTTCTATTCTCGCTCTGAACAAACGAGAGAAAATTACAGTTTTTGTCCCTAGGCCCCATTTGCAAATCAAATTTGTCCCGAGGTTGGCCCATTGCACGCCGTTGACCCTATTTTCGAAGTGTCGCTTTGCCCTTTTCGGTTGAATTATGGACAGCAGTGCGGATAGGCCGATTGGGGAGTGTAAGAAAGTAAAAAAAAAATAAAAAAGAATAGAGAAAAATGGAGTGTGGATTGAAGAAGAAGAGATGCAAAAAAATATATTTACAACGTACATTTTTCCAGCAGGACAAACATTTCTGACGGAAAACCGTTCCTTGGTAAGCAAAGTAGCAACAGTCATTTCTTTCCTCATGCGGTTCTCTTATGTGTCAATTTGTTTTTCTCATTTCTCCCTAGGCCAGCTTCGCGTGTGATTTCGATGTTCACACCAGAAGACTCCTAAGCTGATTTAGCAACGTGATTTCTTTTCCATGCGCGTTGCGGGAGCTTGACAGTTTTACGATTGACATATGAACGTCGCTTCCCATACAAGCGATGGATTGACAGTAAATTGTATCTCATGTTTGCGCATCTACTACAGGGATGAACGCATGCGTGCATATCTTCCCCATGCAACATATTGTCTGTATGCTATGAAAAATAAGATTGCACGAGAAAGTAGCAATACTGAATATCATACATCGACAGGGATTGTCTGTTAACGCAGACATTCATGTAGCACAGATCTCTGACACACGAAGTGCATCCGGCATTTTTCTTTTAATTTATTAATTAATCTGTGGGCAATCGAACGGAGCTTGCGTGTCAGAGAGGACACGACTCCGGGTCACACGATATTTATTTATTTCACGCACGTAAGAAATAGCGATCGATAGACGATCATTTCGGCATATCACACCCGTCCTTTTTTATCGGCTGAGCATTATTCTAACAGTAACTAGGAATTCTGTTGTGTCGTTCCCCATTCCCCTAACTCTGTCCGCAACCTGTTTCTATCACCCCGTGTATGAGCGCACGTAAACTATCCCCAGATTAGGGGTTAGTTTGATGATTTATCGGTACAGCTGGAAGTAAGAGATTCCCAACAAAGCATCCAAGATCAGTCATCCCCTGAGAAGAGGGTAGCGGTAGTAAGGAAGATGGAAATGAAGATAGTCGCGGAGCGTGGTTAGGGCGGATGAGAAAGGGTGAGGCTGGCAGCAAAACGCGAAGTGCCGCAAAAGGAACAAATCCGGACAAGTCCGCGGATGTTGGAAACTGTGGTCGGGCATGGAATGGCTTCAGAGGGGTGGTTATCCCAATCGTAAAGATTCTACTGCGAGCCGTCTTCTACACATTTCTGGCAACTCGTCCGCAAAGCAGCAATCGCTTAGTAAAAGTTATGATTCTACGGGCGTCCGCAGGGTCGCTAGTGTCACTGAAATTTATTTTGTTAAGAAATACGTATAAAACACAATAGGTCCGTTCGTGGAAGTGTTTTTACGTGCTACGAAGCACTAAAGGTGTGTTCGAACATGAGCCGAGAGCGCTGAGAGCGTGTTATGTCTCGATCAAATGCATGCAATAAACAGAGAAACAATGATGCATTATGCGCTCTCGGCTCTCTTTCGAACACGCCTATATTGCTTCAGAGCACGTAAAAATGCTTCCACGAACGGACCTAATATTCGTGTATTCTCATTACCATTACACAGTGCTTTAATAATTATACACATTGTAAATGCGTCGCCAGCGCTCACGCGGAGAACGGAAACTGCAAGAATCACAACAGCCACACGGAAGACGATGCACTCGAATAAATAAATTTCGCTACACTGACATTAATAGCAGAACGCGTAACGTCGAACATGTTCGCAAATTCTTTAAACCTGAAGATTTGAGCGAAATCGCAAATAATTTCTTATGGAACGGCAGAAACGATATTACGTGTTAAGAAACTCTGAATAATGAGAATTATTGCAGTACGAGAATATTCGAAATTTGAGAATCTTGCGAAAAATTTAACATTTCTTAAAATGATTTTACTGAACGTCCATTTTGGTCAAAGCTGTAAAAGTTTTGCTTAAGATATAACGCAGCGTGGCTATGTGATTCAGAGGGATGCATAGGTATCCCATCACGTGTATGTATGTACAACGGATGAGTTGCGAATGTATATGGAAGTCTGTAAGGGGTTGAGACGAGAAGCAAAAGAGAAGTAGGGGTCTGTATATACCCTTGCGCATATATCTGTACGTGCGCGTATTTCTGTATGCATGTATATATGTATATACTATAGCAAAAGCGGGGCGGTTTCATCCCTTAACGGTTTGGTGAGTCACGGACTTCCCCGGGGGTGGGGGGGGGAGTGGGGGGTTAAGCGCGATGCGTCTGCCGCCCGTCTGCCACCCTCATGGAAACCCACCAACCCTCGACCATCCCTTAAACCTTGCCAGCCTGACTGTCTGCCCGCCCGACTGCCTGACTATTACTACTATCTCTCTTCCTCCTTCTTGTTCTCTCCTTCTCTATCTATCTATCTCTTCCCCTCTCTCCTTTTCTCTTTTTCGTTCTGGCCACCCCATTCTAAGCTCACCTCTATCCCTCGTACACGGTAGACAAGATACCCCAGGTCTTTTCTCACCCCATACAGTCGACGACCCTCCGAGATTTAAACGAGACATCACTTAGGCAGTGTCTGACTACCTGATTGCGTACCTACTGGATACGCATTATTGAAATCCCTGCAGTCTGACAGCTCCGCGCTCAGAATCTACTTCTTTTAGCATTGTAAACTCGTTTCAAAAGTTTCACCCCTCTAGCAACATTTGCGCAGGGCTTGAGCACAATTGGCACCTATTAACTTTCAACCCCTTGATATTCCTATTACAATTATCGTCCCATTACTGTACGCGATTGAGAAACTTTTGAGTTGAAAAAAAAAACCATCAACGTCCGTCATTTCCTGTCTAATGTCAATCCAGCGGAAATGACGAGCTCAGGAATTTACAAGTTCTATAGCAAAACGATTTATTGCCATTTTATATAGCAGCAACACTCACAGACGCTCACGCGAAAGCCTTCCTGTAGAAAATCTCTTCGGTACCGTCCTTTCATTAGATAGTGGAAGTCCCTAAATCAGCAGGAAAATCGGTACTTCCCCGAGATGTCGTAAAAAGAAATTTCCTTGCCAAAGGAGTAATGCTATCTCGATATCGTTCGTGTTAGGCAGTATTATCGTTTTCTTTTATTTTTGTATATATATAGGTATAAGGTCATCAAGGGTGGACCAAAACTGAGGACGATTGTGCGACGTTCCCGTCCTGGCGACGAATGATAACGCAACTTCGAGCATTAAGCCATTATCACGGCGTCTTGTGCCAATTTTAGGAACGCGTATAAAGTACATGCCAATTATTACGCAACTCGACTCGATAGTCAGAACGGCCAAGATCGGCGCCCCACTTCATTTATGCCCAATGATATACAGCCGATGTGCAACTGATCGCCGAAAAGTCAGCGGGCTACAAGTTGAAGATTTACAGACTTAAGCGGAAGCAATAAGTGATACCATAAGAATGAAAATTCAAAAAGGTCCATTTTACCTGAGTGACGTCACTTAATTTTTTATATAAAAAGCCAGTGAGTTTCGGTATTTTCAAAAATGTTAAGTAATACGTAAAAATTTAATTTAGGATTTCTTACGGGTCAACGGGGTTGTCAGGATGGCGATGGGGTAGTGGGGCATGAGGATCAGAGGGTGAGGGGTCAATTTTTCGAGGTCGGTAATTCGGTTTCGTTGTGCCGCAATGCGACACTATTCTCAGCTACACTATAGCCGATTTACACTGACAAAACTTGTCGCCTAAACGAAAATCGCGATTCCGGCTGTTGCACGTTCATAGGGATGCGAGGCGGTGTCCAGTAAGCGTCCCAGTGCGTTCAGGAAAATTGGCTTCTACTTGAACGGTGGCTCAGTGCGGTGTTCCTGAAAGGCGTTCCAAAACGAAAAAAATTACTCTACGGCGTCAGACTCGATTGGTGTTTAAAACACAGAGAGACGCTGATGAGACTTTCCAGTAGATCTTAGTGTTTGTAAAATTGAATGCTTATAACGTAAAAGAGAATTATGATAAGAGTAAAATAAACGCAGGACTTTGATATTAAAAAAAAATAAATTTCACTAGCCCTCAGTGATTCCCCAGGTGGGATCCGTCGGATAATTTCGATAGCGAGTAACGGGCACGAAATAAAAAATTTACATAGATGGCGAACAACGATAAGATCTGGTAACTCCTCGTGATTTTCACAATAAGATCGTGTCGAGTATTATAAATAACGCGTCGCACATCAGGGACCTCGTACAGGGGCTCGTCGCCAACTCCATTTAAGACACCATGTACAATGGGGAGTAGTGGCCGGATCTGGGTCCGCTAAATAAATTCTCTCTCAATAAAGTACACGGTTACCGACGTATATCGTTACCTCGTTCCATCTCGCAGTATTTCAGGGGAATCCCCGATGTTCTACTATTACCGACCGAGTAAGCCGGTGACCACGCAATTGAAGCACCAAACGCATAATTTCAAATGCAACGACACGAGGACTCAGAAGAAGCGTAATAATCTTAGTCAGCAAAGTAAAATGGCACCCGATTTATTTTAATCGCGTCCAAATTGCGTCTCGTGCACGAAAATCTAACGCTAGACTTCCCGAGGCAAGATAGCGTCGAGATACTTTTCATTTTATTTTTTTTTCTCTTTCAAAGAATGTCCTACGCCGAGACTATCGTACTCTGGATAGTTCTACCTTCTGCTCCACCCTTCCCCGCCCTTTCCCTAAACCATTGCAGACGCAGCGTTTCTCGTGAGAACTTTTGCCGATGGAGAAAGAAGGAAATTCGTGGAACGAGTGGGAAAGAGAAGAAAACGAAAGGGGATAGAAAGACTCTTCGTCATTTCGCAAGTAACCCTAGTACAGGGGTCGGGAAAATCCATGTAGTTTCTGAAACTGCCAATATATATATACGTACGTATATACATGTCTCTCTTCTATTTCTATACGCATATGTCTATATGTACATCTCGATATCTCCTTTAGCTCCGCTGGAACCTTGACCTCTCTTAGTCCCTCCCCCACCCATCAGCCCACCCCTCCTACCTAAGCAGTACCACCTCACCAGCCAACCTTCCTAGCAGCCCCGTATATACATTTCTATCAACGTTATCACTGACCGATCGGAACTATCGGTCGGTACTGACTATAATTGCCACTTGACTGTGACTATACTAGGTACATAGTCAGCAAGTCGTATAGGGCTGACTATATAGGGTTCAACGATTGACTAGCCTAAGTAGAAGGGTCGTATGGTATAGACAAGTGTGCTAACCCTGATCTGGATGTATCACCCACGTGGTCGTCGACAGGGAGTACTCCAGCAGCGGCCACGTGTGCGATGCTCAATTTCGCTGAGATTTCGCAATACTGTTTCAAGGTTTCAAATTATTAACGTGATATTTGGACCATTATCGATTACAAAAAAGTTGAAACTTTAACGTCGACGATCAAAATTCCTAGAACGGCAATGGAACAATGAGAATTTCAAAAATGGTGAACAGCATCAAAATATCAAGTATCGTGGAAACATCGGCGATATATCAAATGGCTCAAAAGTTACAACCATTATAAAAGTCACACCCACGATACAGCCAATTTCCCAAAGGATTTTATTTTCACTTATGCACAATTTTATTCGACGTATACGTCTGTCCTTCTCTAACGCCCGTAGCCGCCCATGAGACCGTCTTTCTCGCACTCACGCAAGATATAAAAAATTCGTAAAAATCGCGCAATCCAAAAATCCCATATTCTCGACTCAGGAGCATTCCAATAAAAATCACCTACCCGAACGCTTAACAAAAAAAAGGTTGAAACATCCAAAAAAAAATTACGACAAAAAGAAAAGCACCCCCTAGACGTTTATCACCCCCGCCCTAGTCTACGTCATCCAAGGTGTCCTACCTCGCTAATGTAATCAGCATAGTCAACTACTGCTTATACTAATATTCTTATTATACTGGTACCACCCTTATTCCTGTTATAATGCAACCTAACCTGACAATTGCTGCTATCCCAATAACATATAAATTTTTATCCAACGTTTCGGATACGTAAACGTAGCTGCCTTCGTCCGTAAGTGCGTTCATCTTTTTCGATAACGTATTTCAGTACGCTCTGACTTGTACGTAGTGCACAGTTACTACGTGTCTGCGTACGTTCATACGTAGTAGGAGACATCCTGGACAGAGTGTAACGGCAGGATGGGAGTCAAGAGGGAATAAAGCGGAATAAAGGGAGTAGGAGACGTACGAAGAGCGGCGCCCAGCTGGAGCCACGTGCATCGATCTGACTACAGGCGCCAGCCGTCCTCCTATCCGTCGGCTCGTTCGTCCATGAGTTCGACCCTGCCCCATTCCATTTCATCCCATCCCATTCCATACCATACCATTTCGTGCCATACCCTATCGTACTACCCGTGTCATTTCATCTCAAACAGTTTCGTTAACGAGAAGAAACGCTTTCAACCGGTTAAAAACCGGTGAATTCTCGTTATCATTTTCATGGTATCTTATCTCCTTTTAACCAAGGAAACGAGCGAAGTGGGACCACTTGGTTTGGAGGCAGTGTCAAAGAGAGGTTAATTCTCAAGACAGATAAAATTCTATTAGGGGTTGTCTTATGTATTACGTTTCATACGTATAGAACTGTCATATATGTTTAACGTTATTCATGTTTATGTTTGTTTATGTTTACGTTAAGTTTTCACGTTTAAGTTATGTCAACTTGACAGAAACCAAACTGGGCACTGCCTACAAACCCCTGTGAACCACGTGGACGCATCGCCTTGGTAGAGGGACCTTCATTCTCGTAGATAGAGGTAGATGGCACAGAGGGGATTGGGCTTCTGATGGATTTGGAGCACACCTTGGTATGGTCGGGAGGGTGGGAATGGTAGGTTGGAGGGTATTATACATTTCAGTGACGGGGGTGACTTGCCTTGGATTGTTTATTAAGCCACCCTCGTAGATCTCGTACAACTTTGGTTCAGGTAACAACCCTTACGTACCATTTATACTTTCCATCCCTTTGCCAATCCCTCTCCCTCCCCATTTTTTAATATTCCTGCAGTGACAGTAGCAATTTCTTCCACGCATCCTCTATTCCCGTGCCCTTGTCAGATGCAATAACCGTCACTGTTTTAATCTTATTTTATCTAGCACAGCTTCCGGTGGGTCTGGACCATTTTACCTGGGAGCAACAGTTGATGGATCCGCTAGAACGTGGACATGCTCTACACCAAGAAAATTAGACGAGTACTCGAAACTCAGTTCTCCGTTTACCTTCGCTGTCTCTCTTCCTCTCTCCTGTCTCTCACTCGCCCCCTGTTACCACGCTCTTCTAAAGGATGCTGTTCGCGGTCCAGAAGTTCTCGGTCGAAAAGCTCTGTCTAACGTTAATGAACGAAGATCATCTAGATTCTCGATCTTGCATACCCTTTGCATATTTTAACTAGGTATGAATTTATATCTCCTACTCTTCGTCGAGCCGATTGTATATGTTTTCTTCTTCCCTCCCAGGAATTCTCATCCACCAGAGATCGTAAAACAAGCCACGGATATTACTAATTAATTGCAGCAGATGATTCTTGGCAAGTATCCTAGGATGTACAGGGCCAGCCACCCTAGTGTATCCTGAAGATGCCGGAGCACTATTCACAGGCGCCACGTACGTATGGAGCATGCACTTGCGGTTCCCAAAAAGAGGAAAAAAATTGGAGAAATATATCACCGAGTCACTGAGAGAGAAACTGACGTGGTATATATATGTATATATGCTGCGGATGATAATAAAATTATTAAATCAATCAAGTAATAATGATAGAATCAATGGTACATCTTGAAATGGATATGAGATGGTATATTAAGCATTAATCATGCCCGCCTTTTAGAATTCAAACGCTGCATATCAGAGGCAATTTTCATAGAAGATTGGTATCGTCTTTGAAAAAAAAAAAAACAGAAACAATACGGAAGCTGTAACGCGGCCCAAACTTTGCGAGTTACTGAAAATTATCAAACTGGGTCAAACTGATTTAAAACTGATGAATTTCCTGAACGTCGTTTTATGGACCCCTGAGGCTTGCTAATACACTGAGTATAGTCAATAACTTGCACTGAGCCTTATATACAGAAAGTGACGTAAAAACAATCTAATTACAGATACGAAATTATCTCTATAGTCCCCTCGGTATGTATACAACGTAGTTTGCTAATCCAGTCACGTAGATGCAAGGAGAATTGTCAATACAGATGATAAGGGCCTAATCGTAGATTCAATCTGTCTTATCTCGCGAATTAACTGTTGGTCCATTTTGGAATATCTCGAAGCATCATCTCTGCCATTCCTGTAGGAATTTCTAATATTTATGTTTTATTTCCAATAAGATTACCTGACCTGTATATATTCTATGTACTGCATTAACGTAATGTCAATCGGTATCTATGGTCAGTACCAGATATATTGCGTACAGTAGCATATGGTATGCTATAATGATTATATATACATATATATATACATATATATATATATATGTATATATAAATATTACTATACCTTAAATATAGTTACTGGTCACGTCAACGATCCTACCTTTACGTATCCAATGCTCTTATTGCCATTGTCTACGTACGTTCGTACACGTGTTACATATAAGTTAGTGAACTGTATACGTTACTATAGACCGTTCCGCGACACCCATGGGTGGTGGCCACGTGGCTCGAGGCGTGTGGCCGCATGCATTCGGTACAGAGTCAGTGACGACCTTTGCAAACTTCTTGGAATTACTATTAAGAAAGTATAGGACTTTTTTTGATACCAGGGATAACGATAATCGATAAAAATGATTAGGTGTGGCAAAGATTGATTTGGCGTGTGAAATAATTAACTGATTCAAGAAACATGGAGCAGTAGGGTTTTGATATTGGTCAATAGACTTCTGTGCTCTGGTATCATGTGTGATGCTGTTGGGTACTTATATGCTAATGAGTACACGTATGAGATACGTGTGACGTTTAACAGTTTTAGAATGCTGAGCAGGAGAATAAAAGCCGTGAGTAAAGCCGGACGTGGTCAATTACACGATGGTAATGGCGCCGGCGCTAAAAAGTATGGTAAACTGTGTATGGAGTGTAAGAAAGTAAGAGAAGTATGAGACGAGAGGGAGAGAAAGAGAGAGGGTGATAGGGGGGTGATAAAGAGGGACTAGATGAAGAGCGAGGTGGTAATAACAATGATAATTCCTGAAGGATAACGTTGCACCTACCGGGTTCGGCAAAGGTGATGATCTCCGAGGTTCTCGCGTAAAAGTCATCAACGTCGTCCTGAGCTTCATGAAAATCCTGGGAGGATGACGACGAGGACGAGTATGACGATGATGATGCACGCTGATAAGTATAATACGGTGTGCTAGTGGGTCCCTGTGTGGTTGTCCTCTCGGTGGGGGAGTAATCCTCATCCTGGTGAGGTGCTCGATTACGTCCTGACGATGATCTTGGAAGTGGCGGCTGAGCCTCTGCCCTGTATAAGGTCTCTAGCGCGAGGTATCTCGGCACAGAGGCCAGGGTGCGGTTCACGTCGGGCCTACTCCTGAGACCCAACTTGGTGAGGATCTGATGCTTGATGGCTTCGAGTCTGAGGTCATCAGGACTCGGGGCGTCCTTGACACCGGGATAAAGCGAAGAGGTGGATCCTGAAGTGGAGGACGAGGATGACGACGAGGACGCCGAGAAGGATGCTGAGTGATGATGCTGCTGGGGACAGCCGGGACAGGACCTGTGGCCGCTCTGTCTTCCTTCTATCAGTAATGGCCCAAAGGACACGTGCAGCAGGATGGCGATAATAAATAATATTACAGTCGAGGTCCTCCCGCGATATTCCGGCTGGACTTCCGGTACTCGCGGCCATTTCCGCAGGGGCATCTCGGCGTTGAGTCACCTCCGAACACCGCCACCCCCTTCGACGACGCCGACGTCGCCGACGTCGGCGTACCTAACCTCTGTCTCTCTCTCCTCTCCCACCGTACAGATTCTTCTTCTTCGAGTACGGGGCCAGCTCCTCTTCCTGATATCCTCGCCCAGCTCCTCTTCGCGATTCTCACTATCAATCGAGTACACTCTGTCCTCACTATACTTGATAATGTCGTCAGTATCCTCCTTGCTGGATCTCTTATCAGTGATATATTTGAGATTACTATCACGCACACCCGGTGCGTACTGATATCCTGATGATGATCCCTTATCGATATCCTCCTTGGGAATTTCTTCCCTTGGGACACTCGGTACCACCACCGCCACCACCTTGAGGCTACTATCACTAGTAGCCACCCTTGATTGAAAAACGCACCGAGAATCACGAGCGCTCGTATCTCCCGCGATATGGATGATTTCAGATAACGATGACCAAGAAGACGATGATGGGGAGAAGGCATCCTCGCCTAAAACCCCCATTACCAAAGTCCCTTTGCGTCTTCCGAATCGATCACTGGGCCGACCCGCTTCTTCACGCGGCTCTCGGCCATTCGCTCGCGCTCGCTCGCTCTCGCGTTATTTCGCATACGTGGCATGTGAATATTTATCACAATCGGTCTAAGCTCTACTATCGGTCACCTTGTTAATTGTTACCTCCACTGGCACGATCTCTTTCTCCCTTGGGATCACCAGCCGAAATCCCCCTCTCCGACGATCCCAAAACTCTCTACGACAGATGCACGAGGATGCTGCTTTGGGATGCAAGTACGGGGAATCCCCAGTTTTTTTTTTACAGAAATTCCTTCTTGCCCTGTGTTATCGTTGCTGCGAGTAAGATTGTTTCCTATTGTCTTTCTTTTTTAATTCATTTACGGCCTTCTGGACTTTCGCCGATACTCTCTCGCGCGACTGTCTAACGATTCACTACTGGTAGGTAATTGCCCAGCTGGGAATCGGTGCATTTAGAAACCAATAATATTTAATTCACTTCCGTCATATTTAATACCCGAATCCTGGGTTAATTTATGAGCATAATTACCTACGCATCAGATTAACGCGAATTAGAAAATAAGCGCATGCGTTCTCCATGCGACTATTCCTTGTTTCCGATTAGGAGATACCTTGCCGGTATCGAGGGGACATCCCATCATGTTCTCGAGGGGTCCTCACGATGCATGTCCGCTGTCACCAGTGACAATTAGTTGATATAATTTAATTTTTTAAAAATAACACTTTCGAAAACGATATCCAAAGCAACGACAATCTCACAGTGATGATGTCTTTTGAATGATAAAAATCAAAAAAATTAATTTCTCATTTTTTTTACAAAATCCTTCAAACAGCTTATCGTGTGACTGATTTATCTCATTTCTCCGTTTCTCCTCCTTTCCCCGGTTTTTCTTATTTTCTTCTTGAGTCAAGCTTTGTACAAGTAAGCGCCTAATTCCCGATAAACGGGAAACGTGGAATGAAAATTTCGAAAAAAATGTCAATGTCAAAAATTTCTCCCCCTCTCTCTTTGATTCTCTCTCTATATATATAGATATATATACACACACATATATATATATATATATATAGTCGCAAGCACTAGCCTCTCTCTCAATAAGACTGTCTTCGTTGAGGGATGGAGCCGCGAATATAGCCGAACGAGATAGTCGTTTTTAAAAGGCCTCAGTTTGAACGGCGAGGCACGCTTCTCGGAGTCGCGCCGGGCACTGAGGGACATCCACTACTAGAATCTACCCACCCACATTGCACGGACCAAGCCCGATGGCAGAGCGAGAGAGAGGAAGAGACTGAGCAGACGTACAAAGGGAGTAAGTGGGATGGATAATCTAAAGTGAGTAAGAGTAGCGATGAGAGAGATAGTGCGAGAGAATACGAAGAGAGAGAGAGAGAGACAGAGAGAGGTGTAACCACACCGGCTAAACTCCAAGCGTGACTTTGTGTATCGGTGCTCCACTATAATGTGATAGAAGGGCGGGTATCGCTATAAGCCGGTATAGTGGAGTATAGTGGATATAAGACGTATACCGTATATAGAAGTTAAGTGTGTGGATAGGGACGCGCAGGCGTCTCAGGGTCGGATCGGAGGCGCAGGACTGAGCGACGACGATTCTGTCGAATCTCTTCCTAGCAGTCATCCTCCTCGTCTACATCCTCCTCTGTCTAGGTATATCTACGGAGTTATAATGCTGGCTCCTTTTATATACTATACCGGGAATCCTCCACGTCGACGTCCTTAACACTGTTCTGACCAGGATAGGGCAACTATGTGAATATATAGTACTACCAGAGAATTCTTGAACCACGTGGCTCTCGCGTGGTACCCGTAATGCTTGACGTAACGGGGTACGAATCTTTTGAGATCTATGAGAGCTTGGACCATTTAGTCTGAAATTAATTAAATTTATTGAGAAATATTTCGTACGTGGCTTATGCTTAAGGACGCCGTGGTTGATCCTTTGGGACAAGTCATGGGGTATGAGATTTTGGTAGTAAGATTCGTCTGCGCTTGGTTTAATTGATGGTACGTACTAGGCATCCTTTAGTGTTTCAGGAGACGAGGGCTGAGTGTATTGGAGTTTTCTCGATATCACTGATAATGTTTGCGGCTTGTGGGATGGATGAGTATGGGGCAAAGCCGAGCTCTAGCTGTAAGCATATTGATCAGGAGACGGTAGTTGGCCGCATGCCACGTGGTGATGCTGTGAGAGGCGCCGGTCTCTCCTCTTATTATGACCCAAGGCTTCCATCTTCGCTCCTTCCTTTCGGCAAGGATACGCGAATGGGGATATATCCATTCTCTTTGGATTCCTTGTCGTCTAGGATATCTTGGTGGAATTATTTAGATTACGCAGTTTCTTGCTGCCAGGATAAGAGTCAGTCTTTGCTGAGTCCTCCGATGATGCGTCTTCTGCTGGGTATGGATTGAGTTCGTTGTTTTAATGGGAAATGGAGAAAAAAAATATTTTATCGTATGGGCCCGTCCCTGGAACCACGTACCTTAAATTAAGACGTTGAGTTAACGAGCGCACCCGCATCGCCGAGGTGCAAAAGGCGGCAGCGACGTCGATCCCACCGCGTCTTAAGTCGACCGCAGGCAACCTTGGTCGAAGTGAAAAAATTAAAAAGTCCATGCATTAAACGGTCGCGCCAGAAAGAGAACCCGCCTTCTTGGGTGGCTACCGGTTCCTTTAGTTTCACTCTTTCGCCGTGGTGCGCGTTCGACTCGTTTTTTAAAAACTCTCTTGAATTTTCTTTTTTTTTGCGCATCTCGTGTTTCCCTGAGAGAGTGAGACGAGAATGTAGCATGGTGGGATAAGGAGATTTCGCGACAGTCGATATTACAGATAATTACAGAACACTGCAATAGAAAATTAGGTACCGATGTAGAAAAGCACCTCTCTCGTAGAAATTTACCATCCAAAGACATACGAAATGTATCCAAAGCCTCGAAGAACAAAACTACCTTGCCGACCACTAAAATTTACCGACCGGGATTGGATCTGTCGGTAACACTTGTATCCTTTCGTGGTTTGGTTCTCGGCTTCTACACGTACGGCTCCCTGGCCACAGGCAAATTTTTATGACGTTTACGTTTCAACTTATTCGGGAAACTATCAGCGTCCATAGTTTACCAACCAGGGTGATTCGTGATTTCATCTAATGGTTGAAAACCTCTACGTACAAAACCATTGAAATAAAATTTCGTGAATAGTTAATCTCCTGAAATGCCGATGCATCCAAAATACAATACTCTGCTATGTCGGTGCATATCTCAACACACGTTCAATGCATATTCAATTTTATTAATCTTTGATCGGCATTTCAGAAGAATAACCATTCGAGGAGTTTTATTTTAATGGTATAGGCTTCTGACCATTAGGTGAAAGCACGGGTACCCGTCTACTATAGGCATGGGTCTTTGACCCGACGTCGCGACGTCGTACGTCCGTGACTTTTTGTAAAATCTCATACGTCTCTTTTTACCATCAATTCGATTTCATCTGTCCGGCCGGCATAGTTTTGCTACGTAGTCGCGCGCGGCCCATCTGCTACGACACGTCGAGACGACGCGCGTCAGCGTCTCGAGAGCTTTCCACATGACTTACCAAACACAACAATGTTGTTTTGTCGCTGGTCATGGTCGCGGCGTAACTAGCCGGTGACATCTATCTATCCGGTATAGCTCCATCCATCCCTTCCCGCTATTTCGACGCTTATATTTTCTAAGTCCCGCAAGAGTGGCATACGTATACTCCGAATGTTTAACCAGCATACGTGGTCACGTCTGAGTGTGCGAATTAGATTGATCTATTATTGTCTTGTCTTGTCTGGCTGTCGTCTCGCCCGCTGATTGGCACCAGGCAAATATTATCTTCCTAAAACCACCCGAATGCCGCCAAGCGACAGACCAGTCAGCCTGGCACTCTCGATCTTCGCCATCTTCCTCTCACTACAATCAATTTTTTCTTCTGTATGCTCATTACGTTTGCGAAAATAACACAGGAAAAAAAACATTCCAAAAAAGCGAAAGAACGTATACCAACGTCCATTAGACACTTGTAAAAATAAATTCACATTTATTTTATCAAAATAAAAATACGTTAATCAACTTATACATCGATTCGAATATACAATTATTTTGACTACGTAATACATACAATTAACGGTTACACTATATATAAAACGTGGAATTCCAACGAGATGATAATCGAACCACAATTGATACGGATCCTAACCTTAATTACTTGAGCAAAATAAAAGATAAATATCTTCATCTAAATCCGTCACGCTGCACAAATGAGAGCACATAAAACCCAATGCATTCCTGTTAGAAGGCAGTTTCGATGAGGTCAACCAAAGCCACCGAAGAAGATCGCGCTGACCTCGACCCGGAGTCTGTGCCCGAGTTGTCAGAGACCTCTCTGAGTGGTATGGACGAACGTACGCGCTCATCATCAGCTCTGATTGTTCC